GACCGGTACCCTAGTGTCGCACGTTGCTTACTTTTCAGAAGGTCTCTGAATCTAGCGAAGACTTTATTCATAAAACGGGGATCCTGATCATGTCTGATCATTGAACTCGCCCCAAATCTCCTGAATACGTACTCTTCGTATGCCTCAGCGACATCTTGGGCTTCGGTATTCCGCATGGGTTTGCACATGACGTATCCTGAGAATTGATCTTGGAACAGCAACAAGTAGGTATTTCCACGGTCGGACTCAGGTAGCTCAGTGACAAAATCCATAGAGACCACTTCGAACGGATATCTCGGCTCGATATTGCCAGGTGACGGGCCGAGAACCGGTGGTCGCCCCTTGGCTGACGCGCAATCTACGCATTCTCTCACGAACTTCTGTACATCAGCGTACATCCCGATCCAGTAGAACTCTGAACGTAACCGTTCAAACGTTCTGTTGATTCCTTGATGGCCGCCTTGAAAGTCTTCGTGCGAGTAGTGTAACATGTCGACACGTAAAGTCTCTGGGACTACCAACCTGAGTTCCGACTGCTTGTTATGAGGTCTCTCGGGAGTGGGTGTGCTCAGCCTGTAGAGGACTTCTCACGAATCCAACACAAACTGATCGGAGACCTTCGCAATCTTCTTGACCTGGTTCCGTGGAAGATCTGACACGTCTCCTTTCAGGACCTTCTTCATTTGCTGGATCCACAAGTCTTCGTCTTGGTGAACCTTGATTCTCCTCCAACGTTCATCCTGGTATCCAGACTGATCTACAGAAGTCCGAGAACTTGCATCCGCTTCCGCCCGTGACCTCGTCGTCACCATCAATGCTTCAGCCGCGGTAGCTAAAGACTCAGGTATCCCGGTATCAGGACTATCCACTTCGAGTTTGACTTGATCCGAGTCAACCGCATCGGTCACAGGGGTACCTGGGATTTCCGAAGGCTTCATGATCTTTTCAGGAATTCTAGATACGAGACGTAGATGCACTATCTCATCAGGGTCGTCGAGTTCTCAGGATTCTCCGAGCACAAGAGTCTTAGAGGTCAGGTAATCAGCCGC